CAGCAAGAGTATTTTTAGGTGTGTTTTACAAATTATTTTGTTACAGGCTACAGTTTTGTTGCTTGTGGAGTGAAAGGAAACTCAAATTATTCAACACATGTGATATTTTTTACTGTTTTGAGGATTAAAATGTTTGTGTTCATATGAACTTTTCTCAAGAAGTGATTTAACAAAGACTTTTAGTATCAGAGCCACGATTTAGCCTTTATTTTTTATTGAACAGTATCGAATCGATTTGAAATATATCATATCGAATCAAAAGTGCACTGTATCGAGATATGTATCGTATCGTGGCCTGTGTATTGAGGTATGTATCGTATCAGCAACTCCTTAATGATACCAGCCCTACACTCAAGTGTTGTTAGAGCGAAGTTGAATCAAAACAGATTCTTCTTAAAATCTCAGAGCTTCCTCCTGGGCCAAATTAGACCCTCTGGAGGACCAAGTTTGGCTCATGGGCCCCACTTTGGAAGTTATAATTTAATTAACTGATTAATCAAAAAAATCGTCGATAGATAGGCCCTGAAATAGGTATTAAGTTTTTATATAAATGGTCTTAAAAATGTTTTTAAAAGACTTGAATTTAACTTGAAGAAACATGTATGAACCCCGTAGTATTTATTAATAGTAGTAGTAATAATAGCAGTAATAGTACACAGTAGTATCATGTAGTAGTACTAGTATTTATACGAGTATCTCTCCTCGTGTTGTTGGTTTCCACTGCGACTAGAAAACCTCACACTGACTTGGACTGAACCACTCTGGAAAAAAAAAAAAATCCCATTACGATTCAGGCATGTGAGCCTTGTGTCGCCATGGAAACAGCCATAGACATACATGCAGAACACCCCCGACACACTGCCACTGCAAAATATCAATAAATATTTACTGGAATTTAACACTTTTTTTTTTTTTTTTTCGTCTTTTTCAGTCCTGATTCGCGTTTTGCTGAAGTCCACTCCGGGCATTTGACCCCGGATTACGAGGACGAGGACAGTGACCCGCATTACGCCCGGATCAACGACTTCAGGCAGCACCCGACCGGCACCCTGCCCGCCCGCTACCGCAGCCGCTCCCCCTCGCCCGCCACGCCCGCCCTGGGGCAGAGACACGCCTCCGCCGACAACCTGGAGGAGCTGTACGCCAAAGTCCAGAAACCCCGGAAACAAGTGTACAACGACCCCAACCAGCCAGGACGGGTGAGTGGGTCTACAGGGGTTTAAGACCTGGTTTAGTCCTGGTTTAGACCTGGTTTAGTCCTGGTTAAAGCACCGTTCTCTCCTGGTTTACTTGTGGTTTTGGTCTTGAAATAGTCCTGGTTTAGGAAATGTTGTTTTGTCTGTGGTCTAGTTCTTGGTTTAGTCCTGTTTTAGTTCCAATCTGGACCTGGTTTATTCCTGGTCTAGTCCCTGGTTTTGTCTTGATGTAATCCTGGTTTAGTCCTGGTTTGGTCCTGGTTTAGTCCTGGTTTAGCCCTTGTGTAGTCTTGGTTTAGTCCTGCTTTAGCCCTGGTTTAGATTTGGTTTAATCCTGGTTTAGACTTGGTTTAGTCCTGGTTTAGTCTTGGTTTAGACCTGGTTTAGACTTTGTTTAGTCCAGGTTTAGACCTGGTTTAGACCTGGTTTAGTCCTGGTTTAGTCCTGGTTTAGTCCTGCTTTAGTCCTGCTTTAACCCTGGTTTAGTCCAGGTTTAGTCCAGGTTTAGTCCTGGTTTAGTCCTGGTTTAGTCTTGGTTTAGTCCTGGTTTAGTCCATCTTGTCCTGGTTTAGTCTTGGTTTAGACCTACTTTAGTCCTGGTTTAGTCCAGGTTTAGTCCATCTTTAGTCCATCTTTAGTCCTGGTTTACTCCTGGTTTAGTCCTACTTTAGTCCTGGTTTAGTCCTGGTTTAGTCCTGGTTAGTCCTGGTTTAGTCCTGGTTTAGTCCTGGTTTAGTCCTGGTTTAGTCCTGGTTTAGTCCTGGTTTTAGTCCTGGTTTAGTCTGGTTTAGTCCTGGTTTAGTCCGGTTTAGTCCTGGTTTAGTCCTGGTTTAGTCCTGTTTAGTCCTGTTTAGTCCATTGTCCAGGTTTAGTCCTGGTTTAGTCCTGGTTTAGTCCAGGTTTAGTCCTGGTTTAGTCCCTGGTTTAGGTCCTGTTTAGTCTGGTTTAGTCCAGGTTTAGTCCAGGTTTAGTCCAGGTTTAGTCCTGGTTTAGTCCTGGGTTTAGTCCTGGTTTAGTCCTGGTTTTAGTCCAGGTTTAGTCCTGGTTTAGTCCAGGTTTAGTCCTGGTTTAGTCCCTGGTTTAGTCCAGGTTTAGTCCTGGTTTACTCCTGGTTAGTCCTGGTTAGTCCAGTTTAGTCCTGGTTTAGTCCTGGTTTAGTCCTGGTTTAGTCCTGGTTTAGTCCTGGTTTAGTCCTGGTTTAGTCCAGGTTTAGTCCTGGTTTACTTCTTTATTTTGAGCAGGAAACATTAGATTTGTGGTGAATAGACAAAAATCTGTTTTAAATTCTTTGTGCGTTTTTAAAGGTGACTCGAGCTAAATGTAAATCAGTCGTCTCCCCTGAGTTTGCATTTGCCGAAATCGGACCGAGTTATTATTATATTTTTTTTATTTTATTGCAAAAGTTTCGAAGCGCAAGGTCAATTCCGCGGCTGCGACGGCGTCTGTAAAATTCACACTTTTTTTTTTTTTTTTTTTTTTTTCTTCGTCCGCGCGCTGCCCAGTTTAACTCATGAATAAAACACGAGCTCGTCTCCACTCCTACGATTCTCATAAACATGCAGGACTCATTTCAGCTAATGTCACCTCCAAACACCGCTGCACTTCACTAAACACACCATTTTCATCATTTCTTACCCATTTATTCCCTTTTTCTGACGTTTTGAGCGATTTTGTTTGGTTTTAGTGCGACTTTAAAGCTCATTTATTACACAAAACCGACTCTTGTGAGCTTTAAATCAACTTAAAATGTTGTTTAATTGTGGAAAACGGACGTGGAGTTTTGTTTTGTTTTGTTTTATTCACACATTTTTGAGTTTAAACCGCCGTCCAATCAGATTTGTTTATTTCAGTGACTCATGTGAAACGAAGCAGCTCATTGGTCACTCGACATTTAGAACAAACTCAAACTTTTTTTTTGTTTTTGTTTATTTGTTTCTCAAATTATTAGACATGTTAGATGTTTTTTGTTCAGGAAACCTCTAAGTACTATTAGTACTACTGTGTCAAAAGTACTAATATTACTGCTTTTACTTTGAATACTTCAATTATGACCATAACTATTGCTATTAATACCAATAATACTGCTTCTACTGTGTCAAAAGTACAAATATTTCTGATTTAACTTATAGTACTTCAATTATTTACCAGAATTACTGCTATTAATACCAATAATACTACTACTGTTGAGTCAAAAGTACAAATATTTCTTCTTTTACTGGCATTACTTCAATTATTACTATAACTACTACTATTAATACAAATACTATTAGTACTACTGTGTCAAAAGTATTAATATTACTGCTTTTACTTTGAGTACTTCAATTATGACCATAACTACTGCTA